TTCTATTTTTATTTTTTATTTTTTTAATCATGTAAGAAATATTGACTTGCATTTTTTTAAATATGCATGTACTAGAAGTTTAATAACTCAAAAATTAAAATTAAAATTTGAGAATAATATATGATCGAGAAAAGATAAAATAATAATTTTTTTTACATATGAATAAATAATTAATGCAACTTGCCGAGAAAAAAAAATAAATCTATTTATTTTAACTTCAAAAAAAATCAAATAATAAATGCATTACCTAAAATATTAAATTTTAGGTTATTTATGTGGTGTGAAATAAGTCTTATATTGAATTAGAAAAATATTTGAGGGCCACAAAATCAGTGGCTCAAATGGCTCAAAACTGCTGATTTTGTGGCCCTCTACCATTGCTGATTAAATTATTAGGATGTTATCTAACATTAATTTTAGAGAGATTATTTATTTTCAAGTATTTTATCAATAAAATTTTTTTTGGACATTAAATGATTTAATAGTGTCTTAACAATTTAAAATTTTTATTTAATACTGCATAGAATTTAAGAATTTTATTAAATAACGGTAAAATACGTATGAGTTTTGATAATATATATTCAAAACCTCTGGGGAGATGAGTGAAATTTCTAATTTGAATAAATAAAGTAATTAATGGACAATTTCATATTTTTGGTATGACATCAATATGACATCTGCAAATTCTGTTAAATAGCTTAGCAGTGAAGAATCTTAATAATAGTTTCAAAAGTAACAGAGGTTAATGCAATTATTCAAATCACAACAGAAATTCCTATAGTTGTCAGGAATCTCAGGGGAGATAAGTGTAAATCATAGTCTATCCAAATAAGAAGGTGAAAAAAAACAGTTATTTCTTTTATTTTCTCATTTCTCAATCCAAACGGACTATAAAGGAGATCCGAAAAAAATGATAGGACCTATTTTTTAGTCAATAATATATAAGTTAAGACACCACTTATGTAATTTATAATTTTCCTATTAAATAATCCCTGTAGGAGAAAAATTATAATTTACTCTTTCCCAACTTTAAAAGTTATAAAAAAACAAGTTGTCTAAACATAAATGATATGGAATAATAATAATAATAAATAAATAAATAAATAAAAACAGTAAATGACTTCTCCCTCTCAGGATGTGTAGTCAAAATCAGCAGCCACCCAGAAGAAATCAACAATGGCATAGCAAAAGTAAAAGGTGATGGAGGAAGTACCCAAATATTCCCAACACAGGTGAAAAGGGTCACTCAAAGAACCTCATCATGATTACTATATATCTTTCTATCTGTGCTGTGTTTTGCTAACCTTCCATCTTTATGTCAAATGGCCTCCCAGACTTTTCTCTTTGGTTGGTTTGGTTGCGTGGACATGGGTTTAGTTGGAACAATAAGCAAAAGTTACCAACAACTGTAAGTCTGTCACACCCCAAACAAACACACACTGTTGCACGGACTTCTTTCTCAGACATGTTTCTTTGAGAAAACTATTGGCCAGTGATAAATGGTGGAGATTAGAATTACAGATGAGTGGCAATTTTTCAGAAATTATAACAAAGGTCAATAGAAAAAGAAAAAAAAAATCTATATACCATATACAATGAAATCTTTTAAGTGGGATTTACCAAATTATCCTTATCTCTTTGAATTTCTTTTAACAATAACCTTAAACACTTTCTCTACTCTCCTTCGACACCGCCACTTCGTTTACGCTCCACCATCCCTTAGTTCCCCACCCACTCCAACACTCCTTTATCTCTCCAGCCTTTCCCACTCATTCTAGTTACCAATGTCTCTTCTGCCTACCTTCATTGCTCTTTTACCCATTTCATTACCCTCACTACTCTCCCACCCACCTTCTTTACCACTCATAATCATCTTTACCACTCATAATCATCCTCACACCGTATTCGACCCAAATCCTAGCCACTAGAACTAACCAAACCCGTCCATCCTCTCCACATCGCTAGGGTGCAAGTGAAAACTATGCATTTTATAGTAACGACTAAAAATGATATGAGGTGGCGACAGGAAAAGAGTAGAGGGGTTTGGATGATTTTAGTGTTTAGAGTTTGGGTCGACTAAGATGTTGAGCTTGGTGAAGATGGCCCAAGGCCAAGTTTGTCAACCCAAAATAAGTATACACTTTTTATCTTTTTTTCATCACATCATCTCTCTACTTTTCTGCACATCTTTTCGTAAAAAGATAAAAAGTGTACTTATTTAGGTCATCCCAAACATTCCCTTAAGGGTGGTAGAGATAAATAGAATTAATGGGTCAGTGAGGAATGGAGGATTGTCGGTGTGAGTGGGGCAATGAGAAAGTTTGAAGGAAGTAACAGCGGTGGCAGGGGAGGGTAGAGGAAATGGCTAGAGTTATTTTCAAAAGAGACTAAAAGAGAAGGGTAATTTCGTAATCATACCTAACGATTCAATGATTTTTGCAATTCAGTTGTAATTTCTAAAAACTTCACGCAACAATTTGAATTGAACTTTGGTCCTCAAAAATAATGGGTCGTAGTTGCCCTACTTCTTTCCTATTATTTTCCTTCTAAAAATGCTATTCAACAAAACTATTTCACGAAATTAATGATTAATGTCATCAACACCCCCACAATTGTTAGCTAATATTATTTTTATCAATAAATTTATATCAACACCCCCACAATTGTTAGCTAATATTATTTTTATCAATAAATTTATACATTTTAATCCCTCAATTATAAAAATGTATTCATTTTATCCCCTTTCAGACCACCTGTAAAGGAGATATATTTGTGTTATTTTTATAATTGAATGTGTTAATATATACGAGTCCGTAAATGAAATGTTAAGATGATTGTCATAATAGTGGTAAGAATCTTGGTGTAATTAACCCGAATGTTAAATGCTAAAAAATACTTTTTGAAAACTTGTTTAATATTGGAATGGTGATGAAAAATGTTGTGAAAATAAATGAAAATATTTTTAAAATTAAAAGTAATGAAAAATGTATTTTTTTGAACAGAATGAAAAATGTATTGGAATATACAAAAGTGTCATTTTTTTCATCTCCTCAACACTTGTTAATAAGATTTTTTTACAAATTGATGTAACATATATATATAATAATAAATTCATGATTTTAAAATGAAATTTTATCTATATATAACTGCTCATTCAATTATCACATTAATTTGTAAAAATATTTATTTATATTATTTTTTTTAATTATAATATTTTTTAAAAATATTTAATTATAACCTTTTTATATTTAATTATAATTTTTTATTTATAATTATAATTCAAAAAATATAAAATTATATTGTTTTTTTTATATAATTATAAGACAAATACAGTACATCTTTTAAAAAGTATGTGGCATTACCTTTTCCATTTTTGTATATCACTCAATTATCTCTATTCATTCTGTCCCCACATGAAATGGATAAGAACTAGAACCCAGAATTTTCGCACCCCTTCCATGCCCATACATGAATGCCAAGATAACTAAAATGTGAGACCTTTTCTATGAGAGAATATCTTAACTTGTCCATCAATACTTGCCACCACTGTCTCTCACAAACAGACATACATCAGATGATTAGACTACTAACACAAGGGTGGCCGTTAAAAGATTTAGATCAAGTTTGACATCCTTCAAAAAATTTAAAAAGTCAAAAAATTATTATCCTATTTAAGTCACATCATCTTATTTAAGTCACATTATCTCTCCAACACATCACTTCAAACCCAATCCAAATCCAACTCATATTTCATAAAAAGTCAAAAAGTACACTTATTTAGTCTTTCCAAACTTATCCTTAATTTAAGATAAATTATACTGACTTTTTTAAAAAAAACATAAAAATAAAAATAAAAATAAAGCACACACAATAAATCACATAAATTTGTAATTATATTAATTTTAATTTTAATAAACTTAAAACTATTAAAATTAATGTAAATAATGTATAAGTAAATAAATAAATAATATAAAATATATATTTTAATATAAAAAAATTATAAAATTGTTTTTTACCATAAAAGAAAAAAAATTAAAGGTTATATGAATTAAAATTTTAAAAAATATTAATATATTTATATACGAAATTTATAAATTTATATTCTCTTAAACCTGATCAAAGATTATTATAATTTACCCTTTATTTTATTTGATATTTTAAAATTATATTAATTTAATAACTATAAACGCAACTTATTTTTTTAAAATTCTTCCCAAGCAAGAGCTAAATATGTGGTTAATACTTAAACCTTGTTTATCATAAGCTAAAATGAGATTAAGAGACTAAGGGGTGGTGTGAAATGATCAAAATAAATACATTTTTTGACTTTTTAAAACATATGAATTGTGTATGAATTGAATTTGAAGTGATTTGTTAGAGAAATGATGTGACTTAAATAGAATAATAACTTTTTTATTTTTTTAAATCATGCCAAACAAAACCTAAAATAATCAAAAATAAAAATAAAATAAAATAAAATATTAATATTTAAATCATTATTATTTTATTTATATTTTAAAAAAATCAAAAAAAACTTTTTAACTCCAAAAAATCAAAAAATCAAACCCATCTCCGAAAACAAAACAAAATCGCATTATTTTATATTTATGCCTTGATGTCTACACAGACTATTTTGAGAAGATAATTAACATCACATTATTTTATATTTTTTACACATTCATTTTAAAAAATAAAACAAATTTTTTTTTTAAACCATATTCCGAAAACAACCCTACACAATATCCTAAGTTGATATACTTCACATCACAGATGAACACAGGGATACATGCATATCATCCATAGCATGCAAGCCAGATTGATAGATTCAAAAATCGCGAAGAGAAAACAATCTACTAATATGTAAAAGATATATTGAAAATTAATTCACCACCACAAAGTTGTGCATGACATTGACACCAATATCGGAGAAAATCAAGCCAATCACCATATATAACTAACATCATAGGCTAGCATGACCCCATCGCATAATAGAGAGAATATTGAGAACAAAGAAACACTTGATACAAACTATGCAGTACATTAACATCTTCATTGATCATAAATAAAATTTGTACAATAACAAGATCAGTTAATTGAGATGATCACAACATAAAATACAAGACAAACCAAAAAATATTAAAAGGGAAATTAATCCAATGTTCTGCTAACCTCTGTTATCTTTTAGGCAGCTCAGAGTCTTTCTATACAAAATGACTTCCAATTCTCTCAGAGAGATAATTCCCCCACCCCAAAAAAAGAGAATCTACACTCTTCTTCCACTAATTTACCATTTTTGTACTCATTTACAGAATCTTCAAACTGTTGCTTCCAAAAACACATTCCATCTTCTCCTCTCTATATATATCTTCATAAATATTCACAAAAGATAAAAAGAGATAGAGAGAGGGAACAAAATACCACCCAAATTAACCCAAGCCATGAAAATCATTGACAATTAACCATCCAAAAGAACAAGAACAAGAACCAGAACCACTTTACTTTACCAGCTCTGAGACCCACCCAACATCTGGACCTGAAGTAGGTTGTGCCGGGTCAGCCCGATCCAACGGGTTTTCCCTGCTTAGTTTCTCGAACATCTTGGCCCTAAGATCCCGACCCGACTCGACCCTCTCCATCACGGGTTCCTCCTCGCACACCCCTTTGTCCCACAGATCAAAAGACCCGATTCCTGTCCGGGTACGGGCCCTAGTCGGAGTCGATGGCAAACTGCAGAAAGCGGGTCGGGTCAATGACAACCTGGGAGACACGAAACCAGGAGAACCGCCCATCTGGATACCCCATGAAGAAGGCATCGACTTGACCTTGTTGAGCTGTAACTGACGCAGAGAAGCCACCATTTCGTTGATCGAGTTCGAACCCAGAGACCGACTCAGTGAGTTAGTAGTCATCGGAGACATCGGCGGCGACTCAGACGGCGGCGAAATAGACTCCGGCGAGGACATGAAAGTCAACCCTTTAGCACAAGAACCCTCCATAGCAAGCCTGAGAGGAGACCCATCATAGGACTCCACAGATCCGGGAGTTCTCGGGCTCAGAACCCGAAGCTGGTCGGGCATATGGGCAAAAAAGCAGACCCGGCGGCGACAGTTGGGACCGTCCTTGCATGGCTGAGTCCGGTACCGACCCGGATGGAGCCAGCACTCGAACACGCCATGTGCGAACTCACAGGCATCACCTTTCTTACAGTTCCCTTTTCGGAATTCGGGGCAAGCCGTACCCGAATAGTTGAACTTTCTCGGGTCTCTACGGCGAGCTTTCTCTCCCGGATGAGCGTAGGGACACTCGGTCCAGTCGTGTGATCGGCCTCTCATGCACTTTCGGACCTTGAACTCGAACATCCGAAACTGATCGCACGAGTACGGGTCCACCGGGAGGTCCGACTCGCGACCCGACTCCTCGGACTCCAAATCGACGTCGTTTGACGGGAGGTAACGGTGCAGCGCCGTCAGAGCATCGAACGGATAGCAGTCGTCGGCATTGCCGTTATGGTTGACGGAAATGCCAGTTACGGAAAAAGGAAAAGAGATGTCAACCGTTGGATCGTCGGAGACAGTCCACGGAGGTACATGTACCATCGGATTTGGGTGGTTTCGCTCTCCGATCATCATTTTTTTGGTGCTGTGAACGTACAGGCTCACTCTGGTTGGCATATAAACTGCTAGTTGAGTGGGTACTAACCGTGGTTGAGTTTTATTAACCTTGGTTAGATTAAAAAACTATTTTACTGCGGTTAAAACTATGGGGAGATTCTCCGATGACAGTGTGGTGTGTGTTGAATTAAGAAGGTGGTGTGAGGGATTGACATGAGTTGTGTTATGGGAGCTTAGGTTTATACGTGGGTTGTTGTTGTTACGGTGGTGAGGGGATTTTGGTGACAGGCGTTTGTTGGATAAATTTATAATTTTTGTTTTTTAAATGACGGCACTAGGTCGGTAGATTTCCTAAGGCGGTGGAGCGTAATATACGCGAGGACATTTATGGAGTGTAGATGTGAGATATTGTGGAAAGACAGTTGGAGACTTTTGCATTTACGGCGTTTGCTTAAGAGATTTAGGAAAGAATTAAAATTTAAAAAAAAAAAAAATTATCTGAAATATTTTATTTAACTGGCATAATATTTGTGTTTTTTATGAGATAAAATAATATATTTTATATTAAAAATATGATAATTATATTTAATTTTTTTTTATATTTTACTTCTCATAAATAAAATTTTATATATAAATTTAAGAGTTTTCTTTTTAAATGTTTCTTTTTTATATTGACAATTAATAATTAAAATTATGCTTTGTTATAAAAAAATAATATAATTCTAACACTTCACTATTTTAGAATAAAAATATATGAATTTTAAAAAATTATCATATTGGTTTTTAAAAGGGAAATAATTAAAAAAAAATTAAAAACTTAATGAGTGAAAAGAATCACGGTAATATGTAAAACTGTTAAAATCATAGTTAAATCAGCAAATTATTCAAATAAAAAATGATTTAGCATAATTAGTAAAGTCAAAAGATCAATCAGCTTACACAAAAAAATAATTAATTAAAACTTTTAAATTTTATTTTATGAAAATTTAAACTGTCACTAAATATAGAAAGCAACCTATTAATTTAAAATTAAAATCGACATAATATAAATTTAAAACTATTATAATTTATCTCATAAGTTATAAATTTTAAATACAAATTTAAAATTATCTCATAATTTTTGTATTAAGGAACAATAAGAATGACATTGAGATTATCGATATATCTATGTATTTTATAAAATAAATACTTCCAAGGAAAGATATTATGAGAGTTTCAAAATCCTATACAAAATTATGTTGAAAATAAAAATCTCAATGTGAGATTGTAAAATAAAAATTAAATGGACGTTAGCTAATCGGGATTTTCTTAATTGTTTAAAATTAAGAAAATCAAAAAAATTAATATGAGATATTGATTATATGGTTTCTCACAGAAATCTCATTTTGTTTATATAAATAGAAGTATAAGATTCACTTTATCTAAGTAAAACAATTCATTTTTTTCCTTTTTTTCTCGATGTGTGATTATAAAATAAAAGTTAAATAAAAGCTAGTCAATGATGATTTTCTTAATTGTTTAAAAGTTAACAATTGTTTGGGTGAAAAGTTTATTTCGAATTTAGCAATCTTAGCCATTTATCTTTAATTTGGTCAATCTTTAATTGATTTTGAATCAAATAAATTTAACAAATATATTTTAATAAAACTGCTAATATCGCAGTTAAACCAACGAATCAGTCAAACTAAAAACGATTCACCCTATCGGCTACGTTAAAAAACCAACCAACTTATACAAAAATTAATTAATTAAAACTTTTAAATTTTATTTTAATTTTAAAATTTAAACTGTCTTGAATTGAAACATACACAACATTACAATATTAAAAGGGAGCATAAGGTTTATATAGTGAAACAGCTCATTTTTTTACTCCTTTTCCTACTATGAAATTGTAAAATAAAAGTTAATAGTTGTTTGGACGCACTACAACAAAAACACATTTTAGTGACAACATACTAGTGGCATGTTCTTAAAAAATGTCACAAAAAGAATATTTGGTGACATTTTTTAGAAAAATGTCATAGGGCCACAAATATACAAGGCTCTAGTGGCATTTCAATTAAAAAAAGTGTCACTTCACTACAACAAAAATGCCACTACAACAAATTTACACTTTAGTGACATTACACTAGTGGCATGTTCTTAAAAAATGTCATAAAAAGAATATTTGGTGACATTTTTTAGAAAAATGTCATAGAGCCACAAATATACAATGCTCTAGTAGCATTTCAATTAAAAAAAGTGTCACTTCACTACAACAAAAATGTCACTACACAGTTACATTTTAGTGACACTACACTAGTGGCATGTTTTTAGAAAATGCCACAAAAATAAAAATTGGCATTAAATGTTTTAGAAAAATGCCACAGAATCACAAACATATAAGGCTCTAGTGGCATTTCAATAAAGAAATGTCACATCAATTTTATGGCATTTTATAAAATAATGACACAAAAAATTATGTTCGTGACATTTACCAACAGATGTCACTAAACTTTAGTAGCAATGGCATTTTTTAAAAAATGTCAGAACACTAGGTAGGTGCAAATTACTTTTTATGGAACTTAGGTGAAAAGTGTCATAAACAAATATTTTATAGCATTTTGAAAAATGCCACTAAGCCAAAAACTTTCCAAGTTTATAATGGCATTTTTGAAAAAACAAAAAATGACAACATATTTTCTAAATTTTTAAAATGCAGAAAATTATTAAAAATAAATAAATTAAACTCAATATACACTATAGGAAAAAGCACATTCAGCGACTAAATTTCCGACCAAAAAAATTTGGTCACTAAAAGTATAGCTTTCAGCGACCAAAATAACATTAGTAGCCAAAAGTAAAGCTTTTTGGCGACTAAACAATTTTAGTAGCAAAAAGTCTACAATTGGTGACTAAAACTAAGTTTGGTCGCTGATTATATGGGTTTTAGTGACTAAAAAATTTTTAGTAGCCCAAAGTAAATTTTTTTAGCGACTAAAAAATTTAGTAGCCAAAAGTCTACAATTGGCGATTAAAAATAAGTTTAGTCGCTGATTATATGGGTTTTACCGACTAAAAAAATTTTAGCGGCCAAAAGTAAAGTTTTTTGGTGACTAAAAAAATGTTAGTAGCCAAAAGTCTATAATTGGCGACTAAAAAATAAGTTTAGTCGCCAAAAGTGGTCATTTTTAGTGCGGGAGAACTAAAATCCTAAGGCGAGAATTAAATTTTTTGGCGACCAAAATTTTGGTAGCTGAAAGTGCATCTTCGACAACCAAATCTGATTTTAGTTGGCAAAAGTTAAGTTTTTTAGCAACTAAAAAACAATGAGTAGTCAAAAGTATAGAATTGGCAAAGTGGTCTTTTTTTATTTTGCTAGTAAATAATTTATTTTACATAAATTATGTTCAATAAAATAATTATGTTTATACATATACTTTTATATTAATATGAATGTATGTACTATATAAATAATATATGTTGCATATATAATCATGTGGTGCTATAGAAGTATAGTGGGAAGAGTGTGCTGTATAAGGTTTATGGTGTGACAGGTTGGCGGTTCGAGTTTCCGCAAGAGTGAATCAAATTGTTCTACAACGAATTATCGTCATGAATGGCACTTGATAGCATCATGAATAGTGCCTACCATGACATTAAAGTGTCACTGAAAGGTTTTAGTCTTGATGGTGTAATGACAGTTATAAGTGTCAGTAACTCTTTTTTTAATGGCGCTTGATAGTGCCACAAAGAATATCTACCATGACATCTGTAGACACCCCATTTTTGATCGACCTTAAGACTCAGACGTCACCAGTTGAGCGCTCGGTGATGCTGCATGTTGTGCTCGTTCTGAAGTTGCGGAGTCTCGGCTGCAAGCCTTGCCTCCGGACTTCGGAGCTCTTTTGTGCCTTGCCTCGGTTTGCGAACCGGGTCCTATTTTCTCTATTTTCTCCTCCCGAAGGGAGGGAGAGGTCTCATAGACCATCTCTTAGTGGCCGTCGGCTACGTTTCGTGGTTGTAGGCCATTTTTCCTATTTGGAGCCCGATTTTCGGTTTTCGGAGCCGTCGGCCGTGTGCCTCGGTTCGGGACCGCTTAACTACCTCCGTTTACTCCGATTTTTGGCACACAACTTATTTCCTCCCTTTAGAGGAACACTGTGGCCCTGGAGACCACCTTCGTGGTCATACGTCACTTCTGGTTCCTAACAGCCTGTTTTCGAGGTCCCGAACCGTGCGTTTTGGCCCCCGATCCTTCGTTTTGCATCTGTTTTGGTCCATTTTTTGTAGGGACCCTATTTTCATTGCTAGAGAGGTGGTAGGATGGTGGCCGGCCACCTTTTCCCCTGAAAAGCTAGTTTCCTCTTTTTCTTTCTCTAAAAGCCGATTTTTTTTGACAGAAAGCTGGTTTTTCTCACTTTTGAGCCACATTTTCTGGCTTTTCATACCACCATGATGATCTATTTATCTGGGAGGCCACCAATATGGGTAGGCCGACCAGTAATTCTTCTTGACCCTTTTGAACCTTATTAAAAAACTAGCTTTTCTCTCTCTTGGGTCACATTTTCTGATTTTTCTCCACAGAGCTGTGTTCTACTCATCTGGGAGGCCACCTTTCTGGGTAGGCCGACCAGCAATTGTTCTTGAACCTTTTGACCCCTGGTCGGCCGACCAGGGGGAGTGGCTGGTCGGCCACTTGAACTGGCCGACCTGCTTATTGCTTTTCCCCTCTGTGAGTGTAATCCAGCTGTGCCAGCTGGAGATCATTTGGTGCATGTATGGAGGATCTTTGAAGCTTCCAAGAGAATCTTTGGCCTCTCTTCTCTATAAGAGAGGCCCTCATCTTCATCTCAGCTGGTTAGACACTTTTGCTTAAGGTTCATCACCTCCCTCCTCCATTGTTACTACCCAAAGCTCCAAAACCCTAACTTTCTTGGTCCATTTACACTGCAACCCTTAGCACTACACCTCCATCATCCATTCCAGAACCTTGGAAGCCATTTGCAGAGGTTGAAAGCTCACCAACTTGGTCCAAAAGCTGCTGGAGGTCGGCTCTTCAAGGGTAAGTCCTCATTTTCCCATTTTTTGCATTATTTTTCCATATACCTTAGCTCCATTTGCAAGCATTTTCGAGCCTTAGTGTAAACTGAAAATAGTCTTATTTTGAGTTCATCTTCAGGTATGTTTAAGAACACTTTTCTGTTTGAGGCCTCCTACACCCCTGCATGCTTTACACCTCTTTGTAGGCCTATTTTGCATCATATCTTGGCCCTACTTGTGAGCATTTTCGAGTTTTGGTGTAAACTGAAGATAGTCTTTTTTTTGAGCTCTTATTCATGTTTGTTTAAGGGAACTTTACTGTTTGAGGTCATCTACTTCCTTGTTTGTTCAATCTCTCTTTTAGGGCTATTTTTG